CCTTCCTCCCATCTTCCTTCCTTCCTTCCTTCCTTCCTTCCTTCCTTCCTTCCTTCCTTCCTTCCTTCCTTCTGTTCCTTCCTTCCTCCTCCCTTCCTTCCTCCCATCTTCCTCCCTTCCTTCCTTCCTTCCTTCCTTCCTTCCTTCCTTCCTTCCTTCCTTCCTCCCATCTTCCTCCCTTCCTTCCTTCCTTCCTTCCTTCCTTCCTTCCTTCCTTCCTTCCTTCCTCCTCCATCTGTCCCTCCCTCCCTCCCTCCAACACATTGGCTGAGTCTTCGGCAGACGTGGGAGAGGCAGTGGGGTCCTGGGCTCATGGGGGGCGAGGACACTCACAGGTGAGGGGGTGGGGTCCTGGGCTCGTGGGGGGCGAGGACACGCACAGGTGAGGGGGTGGGGTCCTGGGCTCGTGGGGGGCGAGGACACGCACAGGTGAGGCGGTGGGGTCCTGGGCTCGTGGGGGGTGAGGACATGCACAGGTGAGGGGGTGGGGTCCTGGGCTCGTGGGGAGCGAGGACATGCACAGGTGAGGCGGTGGGGTCCTGGGCTCGTGGGGGGCGAGGACACGCACAGGCGAGGCGGGCACAGCTGCTCGGGACTTTGGAAGCTGCTCCTACAGCAGCTGGCGGCCAGGCCTCCCAGGGCCCTCCCCACTCTGAGCTTCCATCTGAGCAGAACAGACTGCAGGGTGCGGAGGAGAACCAACTAGTTGGGGAGCATGTACCATGAACGGGGGACCCCGCAGGTAATCCGTGCAGAGTGGGTGGCAGACACGCTGACTGAGCGGAAGGTGGGACAGAGGGAGGGGGCTGGGCATGAGTGCAGACCCCCTGTGGCCCGGGGCCGGCTGAGACCCCAACAGGGGGCGGACACGGAAGGAAAGGGCCTGGAGTCCACATTGGACCTCCAGGATGACAGAGAGCTCGGGAGGGTGCTGGTCACGGGAAATAACGGGCACCACAGCCTGCCCTGGCCTGGGCAGGTGCCCACGGAGGAGCCCGGGCTCAGAGAGCGGGCGGGCAGTAGGCGAGGACTGACGGCTGCAGAGCTGGCCCACAGGACAGCGGGCTCCCAGGACTGCACTGGAGCACAGGGCAGAGCTGGGGGTCAGCTCACACGTCGCTCCATCCTGCGTCAGCTGCTTCTCCGAGCTGACGAGATAACCAGGACCTGAGATGCTATCAGCAGTGTTTACGGACATCAGAGCCCCCAGCGTCCCTGAGCCCCGCATCTGGCTTTCTGCCCCCCTGCGGCGCTTGCCACATTCTGACAGGGAGATAACCTACCTGTTCACCGAGTTTGTCATTTATCTTGTGTGTTCCCCACCTTCCCCAGTGGAGGACATCCGGGATTTTAATGTTTTAGTCACTCATACACCCTCAGGGCCTGCAATACTGCCAGGCACAAAACAGACATTCAATCAACATTTATTAAATGAATGAATTCATGACTGCGTCAAATATTCTAAGACTCTCCAGGGTGGGGAGGGTGGAGGTGGAGGAGGTGACAGAGTGGCTAAATGGTGATGGAAAGATGAAAAAATAAGACAAATATATCAGCATTCCTCAAAACACAAAAGACAAAAAAGAATCTAAATAAGGCAGATCTGAGAATGTTGGACTTGTGACCAGCTAAGAGGTTCTAATTGGGAAGTCTTTTTTTAATCTTTTTCCATATTAGAGACTAAATATTTCACTTAAGCAGAATGTCATATATGCCTTTGGTTAACACAGGAGGCATTGCCAAAGGCCAAGGTTCCAGGGGGGACAGAACTGGCCCAAAGCCAGAAGGCTGGAGTTCCACATCCTGGCCCGGTTACATACTTGCTATATTAAACCTTCAGCGATTCATTCACAGCTTCCTGTTTAGAAAACGAAGATAAGAGAGATATCTATCCAAACACTCAGGGTCAATTTGAAGACCCAAGGCTAGGGATGCTGTTATTTTAAAATTTAATGGACGTTTGCTTTAACTCATTACATGTTATTTTTATTAGATTTTTACTTTCCATTTGAAATTACTGTAATGATTTGTCAGTAGATTAAGATTAAAGAATGTTCTGGATCTCATTACTGATCTCTTGAGAAACACCCACTGAATTCAGAGACCATGGACGTGAGCAAAACATCTCCAGAAAAAGCTCCAAGCATAATAACATTTGGTAAACTGAGAAATGGTGGCTAATCGCACCCGTCATTATGACCATTGCGATGTTTATTTGCAGAGTAGCTGGTCCCTGACTGCTTTGTTTCATATTTATGTTTTTTTTTCTCTATAAAAATAGCTTCCCGGAGATTATTGTCTCGTGTTTACATTATTTTGTGAATACTTTTCACCTAACCCTTTGTTGATGTCCAAGCCAAGTCACTATGTGAGTGCCAAGAGCCCCTGCCTGCCAGGTTTTGAAAAATAAATGAAGTGTTCGGCCCCCTTAAAGGATGAAGCCGAACAGTGGTCCCATTAGCTGCCGCATTCTCGGTCATGACAGGTAGAAGCATGACATGAGGTGGGCCAAAGAAATGACAACTTTGGCCAACAGACTATTTCAACTTCTAAAGATATTATAAGCAATGCAAAGTAAATATTATACTAAAACACATAAGAGAAAAATTGGTAGAACCTTTAAGACGTCTGTTTAGCCCTGGCCCAGCATGGCCCAGTGGGTTGAAGCTTTGTCCTGTCCACTGAAAGGTCTCAGGTTCGATCCCCGGTCAGGGCACATGCCTAGGTTGTGGGTTCCATGCCCTGTTGGGATGCGTACAGGAGGCAACCGGCCGATGTTTCTCTCTCACATCGATGTTTCTCTCTCCCTCTCTCTCTCTCTGTCTGTCTCTCTCTCTCTCTCTATCCCTTCCTCTCTTTCTAAAAATGAATCACACATCCTTGGGTAAGGAAAAGGCATGAAGCCGCAGAGTTTGATACAAACTCTAGGTGGAGGATTGGCTGGAAAGGCTTCTACATAATGAAAATCCACTGTGAGAACCAGGCCCACTGAGGTCACTGGCACTCCCACGAATGGCTGGGGGTCCGGCAGTGAAGAGGGCGGGCACACCTGCTGGGGGCGGGGCCCCAGGCCGAGAACCACAGGGCGGAGGCCCACCCGGCATCACGCATTCTCCGGGTCGGCTGAGGCCCAGCCACACCGGTGATTCCCGCGGAATCTGGAAGGCTCGGATGGTGCTCAGCACACGCAAGTCCCTTCAAAGCACAATCATTAAGCCAATTAGGCTCCTTGTGACTTTTTGTTCCAAAGCACATTGCAGTTGCTCGGTTGCCTCGGCGCAGCCCCCCTAAGGAGCAGCTGGCCTTACTCAGCGCTGCAGTGCGTTCTGTACTGAGCAAACGTCCTTTCGGGGCCAGAGATGGACAGGAAGTTACACTTCCCAGCACACTTCTGAAAGGTGGAGGGGCGCCAGCCTGACCTTCCTGCTAACTTTCAGTTCTCTCGAAGCAACTGAAGCGATGTTTTCCACACACCCAGACGGCAGCGCCGTGGACCACGAAGAGCTCCTTCTCCAGGCTGCTGCAGCCAAGGTGGACGAGGTCAGGACGGTTCTCTACACTCTGAGCTGGCCGAGCTCCCAACTCATGAGCAGCAAATACGGTTTGCCAAGGTGCCCACATTTGGAGAGAAATAACAGAACCCCGTGTTCTCCCAAACAGTATTCTGTAGTCCGTCTCTTAAAGTAAATCCTACCCGATTGGATACACACGGACTATCCAAACCTGTCTCTAAAATGCAGCTGGCATCCCAGTGCCTGGGTCTCTCGGGATTGACGGGCTGCCCCATGCCATCCTTGAAGGTTAGGAAGCTTAGAATTTTTTTACCGGTTGCTCACTTGCTAATTCAGTTGACCACAATGTTTCTGCTGCCCTGACGTTCACCCCTTGTTCTGTAAAATCCCCGTAAACATGGAATGTCCAAATGGAATGAAAGTATCTGACATCCACAGACATTCCAATGCTCAGTCTCACACTCACGGATCAGGAAGGCGATCCGGCCACGACGGTTACTGTCCACATCTACTTTTTAACTTAGTTCTGACGAAGGAACAGCACTGCACTGGGCGTGGGGAGACTTGAGTCTCACTTTCAGCTCTGGCCCTGATGGTAACATCTTGGGGAGTAACTTTTCCACAAAACCACTTCATTGAAATGAGAGCAAAAAGCTGTACATACGTAATGTGTGTAACTGGATGAGTTTGGAGATAAAACTATCACAATCGATGCTATAAACACGCCCATCACTTCCAAAGGTTGCCTCCTACCCTCTTTATTATTGTTATTATTATTGTTATCTGATAAGAACAGGACATAAGAGAACAAATCTGTTGCTACCAGAGGGGAAGGGGGTTTGGGGTGGGCAAAAAGGGTGCAGGGGATCAACTGCACGGGGATGGATGGTGACTAGACGTTTGGAGGTGATCATCTGTAGTGTACACAAATGTCGCATTGTAATTTGTGTACCCGAAAGTCATATACTTGCAGAAATCATAAAAATCCTACCTAAAGTGAACTTAACCAACAGTACAGTGTATGAAAGCATGTAACGAGAGTTCAGTAAAGTTCATTATAAGGAGGGGGCCATCAGCCGCTCAGTGAGGCACCAAAACTATAAGCCCAGTATTCCGCCGCAGAAGCGACACTAAGCCTTTCGAGGACAGCATCTGAGCTGTGCCCGATCCTTTCTGCTGCATTCCAGCTGCTGCAAAGTGAGAGCAATCAGCCCTCTGGCCATAACCCCATCACTACAGAACGACGACTGTTTGGGATAAGGACCTTCCTGAAGGTCAGCCCAGGCTTCACCAGACATTACTAACCACTTCCTTCCACAGTGCCAAGAAAGTTTTCATTTTTCACTTTGTCGGTTTCCATTACCAAGTGATCGGACCGCGTTTCCCACTGCAAGTGATTTCTTCTGTCGACTCTCATTCATAAAACAAGCTGCAGACAAAGGAAGTGTTCATTACCTTGTAAGAAAACAACCAAGTGCCCTCGCTTACCATTTCCCTTCTTCGTTTTCATACTGCTGCACAGTGTAGCCAAACATGTCCTCCACGGGGCCGCTGAAGGTCATTGAGTTCTTCACGTCGACATTGAAGGACACGCAGAAGCCGAGGACTACAGAAAGGCAAACAGAGACCAGTCACACGGAGTTAACTAAGGTTCCATCAGTTTCGAATCACGAAAGGCATTCTCGAGGTTACCATAAAAAGCTCGACCCTTATTAAGAGAGCAGTGATGCTCAACGATCGAGGACAAGAAAGGTCTATAATATTAACGGTATTACTGACCGGAAATCAATATCATGGCTTTGAAGAGCACATGTATTACCATTCAAACAAAACCCCATCGTGATTTAACATCTGTATCATTCCCAGAACTTCAGACTTTAAAATGTGGGGAGCATCCCGCAGAAACGCGTGCTCCCAGAGGGCTGTCCGGGAGGGTGAGCTGCACAGCAGACCGTGGCCACCAGGAAAATGCAAGCAACGCCACCCTCCTGTTCTGATGGCAGGATGCAGCCATGGCCATCTAGACCATCAGCAGAGGAAGCTGGCTCCTAGCGGCTTCCCCAGGGAAGGCGAGGGAATGTCTCCACCCAGAGAGACTTCCCGTGCAGGCCTGAGATGTTTCCTTCTCCTGCAAACGCACCGAGCCTCCTTCCAGGGCGGGGGTGTGGTGCGCTCACAGGTCGCTGCTGAGATGAAATCAGATGATGTATCTAGAGTTTACACAACTCCTAGCACGTACTAGATCGTCAGCGAGGGTTGATGCTCTGCAATTTCCTTGCAGTTTAGGTCATGGAAACCCTGTCTGGGGGAGTCTCTCCCCAAAGCGTTCTGGATGGTGCCAAATCCCACCTGGGATGCTGGCTTTCAAAGTGTGCTTGTGAAGTTCCAAAGCACGGCCCTGCTGCCTGGAACGCGGGTTCTCCTCCAAGAGCACTGGCCTAGGAACCACAGAGCGCCCTGAGGTCCACTCAGAGGTGGCCACACCCACGCCCTTTTGTTAAAACCAGGATATAGCTACACGTACCCTGAAAAATTCTTTCCTCACCCAATGTAAACTCTTGCACAAATGAAGTCTAAACCTAGACTCTAATTCATTCTACGTTCTAATTCATAATCTTCAAATTTTGGTATCAATATTAAATGTTTCTTTGGTGCATTGAATCGTACATCACTTAGAGACAATTTTGTCCTTAAAAAGAGAGAGTTATGTATATCTATTCTTGAAGAAAGAGATACTTACATATACCCATTTATAAAGTCTTCCTTGATCTCTCCACCTTGAAAATAATCTTTTAACTACTGAACCTTCATCTGGCTGGTGTGGCTCAGTGGTTGAGCACTGACCCAGGCACCAAGAGGTCACTAGTTCAATTCCTGGTCAGGGCACATGCCCAGGTTGTGGGCCCGATCCCCAGTGGGAGAATGTGGGAGGCAGTGAATCAATGTTTCTGTCTCTCTCTCCCTTTCCCTTTCTCTCTTTCTAAAATCAATAGAGGAAAAATAAATTTAACTACTAAACCTTCCTCTTTTATTTAAAAAAAAAAAAAAAAAAAAATCCCTCATAGAGATAATTATCCAACACTATTTACACTGTGGGTAGCTGTGTGATATTCTCTTTCCTAGACTGAAGAATTCTTTTCTTATTTATTTTTATCTTTTAAATGTATTTTTCAATGACAGCTGACATACACCATTAGCTTAGTTTCAGGAGAACAACAGTGATTAGACATTCATGTAACGCACAGAGCGATCGCCCCAATAACTCCAGCACCCACCTGGCACCCTACATCATTATTATGATATTGTTGACTGCATGCCCGGTGCTGTACTTCACATCCCTGGGACTATTTTTGTAAGTGACAATTTGTACTTTCTTCACCCAGCTCCCCACCCGCCCCCATCTGGTGACCATCTCTGTATCTACGGCTGGAAAGCGCTTAAAAGCAGGGCTTGGCTTTGCTCATCGTTCTTCCCTCTGAAAATAGCGCCCTGCTTGTGCCCAGATGAGCAGGGACACGCTCGTGGAAGAGGGAACGCAGTGGAGGGGGCTGGGCGGGTCACAGAGGAGGGGGCTGGGCGGGTCGCCGTGGAGGGGGCTGGGGGGGTCACAGCTCATGGACCAGGGGCCGCAGTGGAGGGGGCAGGGTGGGTCGCAGTGGAAGGGGCTGGGCAGGTTGCAGCTCGTGGACCAGGGGACGCAGCGGAGGGGGCTGGGCGGGTCACAGCTCATGGACCAGGGGATGCAGTGGAGGGGGCAGGGTGGGTCGCAGTGGAAGGGGCTGGGCAGGTGGCAGCTCGTGGACCAGGGGACGCAGTGGAGGGGGCTGGGTGGGTCGCAGCTCATAGACCAGGGGATGCAGTGGAGGGGGCTGGGCGGGCCGCATTGGAGGGGGCTGGGTGGGTCGCAGTGGAAGGGACTGGGCAGGTGGCAGCTCGTGGACCAGGGGTCGCAGTGGAAGGGACTGGGCAGGTGGCAGCTCGTGGACCAGGGGTCGCAGTGGAGGGGCTGGGCGGGTCGCAGCTCGTGGACCAGGGGATGCAGTGGAGGGGGCTGGGCGGGTCGCAATGGAGGGGGCTGGGCAGGTGGCAGCTCGTGGACCAGGGACGCAGTGGAGGGGGCTGGGCGGGTCGCAGTGGAGGGGGCTGGGCCGGTCGCAGCTCGTGGACCAGGGGACGCAGTGGAGGGGGCAGGGTGGGTCGCAGTGGAGGGGGCTGGGCGGGTCGCAGCTCGTGGACCAGGGGATGCAGTGGAGGGGGTTGGGCAGGTCGCAGTGGAGGGGGCTGGGCGGGTCGCAGCTCGTGGACCAGGGGACACAGTGGGGGGGATGGGCGGGTCGCAGTGGTGGGGGCTGGACGGGTCGCAGTGGGGGGGGCTGGGCGGGTCGCAGTGGGGGGGCTGGGCGGGTCGCAGCTCCAGGGGAACGGGCGGAGACTCTTCCTCCTGGAGGAGGACTCTATGGCGCTGGAAGCCTTGGAGTGAGGGACTGGCCGTGAGACCACGTGCCCCGGGTTCGGGAGGGTCTCTGCACGCGGTGAGAGCACAGGACCAGGGTGGTGGCGACCCCAGTGGAGGTGCGGGCTGAGCCGGAAGCACAGGCCTTCCCGCCACTTCCGCTCCAGTCCAGGTGCTGGCGACAGCTGGTCCCGGCACCTGCGCAGCAGCCGTTCCTGCCTCCGAAGGCAGTTTAAACACCGTCCCTGCTCCGAACGAGGGACGCGCCCCGCCCTGTCCTCGGCTTCATGTCTTTCGAGCACGTTCAGCCACCTGGTGTCCGTAAGAGACAGGACAGGACTGCGGCTGCGCAGCTCCGGGGTGGCCATTGGGTGGGAGGAGCCTGTGCTGGGAGGCTGCCCTGTGCCTTGCGGGGTGGCAGCAGCCCTGGCCCCGCCCCCCATCCCCGGAGCACCCCAGCTGCAGGGTCAGAATGTCCCCAGACAGTGCCAAATTCCCCAACCAGAGTCGCCCGGGTAGAGGACACTGCCCTGTCGGTGAGGACCAGAGCACCACACCAAAGGCTCTGATGAAGGAGATAACTGGAACCCGAGGCAGCTCCCCAGGGCCCGCAAGGAGCCCAGAATCCCAGGCCCTACCCAGATTTCCTGCATCAGCACCTACATCCAGCGGCGCCTCTGGAAGTCTGCGTCCTGCCAGGGTTCGGGGGCACAGGTGTGTGACACAGTACCCCTCTTTCATATGCTGATGCAGGGACCAGAATGTCCCCAGATTAAAAGTGCTCAGCATCCACCCTGGTTCAGCGGTTAGAGCGTCGCATCGGCCCATGGACCAAAGAGTCGTGAGTTGATTCCAGCCAAGGGCACATACCTCAGTTGTGGTTCATCCCCAGCCCTGGTTGAGTCATGTGGGTGGACACCAGTTGATGTGTCTCTCACATCGATGTTTCTCTCCCTCCCACTCTATCTGAAGATAACTGGAAAAGTATCCTTGGGTGAGGATTAACAACAAAAAAGTACTCAGCATCCTTTAGACCGGGGTCCACTGCCAGCGCCCCATGGTCTCTGGTCCATGCTCGCCCAGAGGCGCCCATGGAGCCCCCACAGGCGAGGACCCAGAGCGGGGCTCCCGGGCCTCACTGTGGATGCCACATGTGTGTGGAATGTCCGGGGTGTGCTGCACTTCGTTCATTTCCTGTGCTCAGAGCGCTCGGGCAGTCTGCCCGTGTCTGCGAAGCCAGCAATGGGCCGGAAGCACAGGAGATGACACACGAGACAGTTTACATTTTGTTCTTGTAACCTGAAGGGGACATAAACAGTAAGAGCAGCATCTCGTAGCTTTTTGTTCAATGTCCATTTTGTTTTACTGTGTCGTCTTAGAACTTCACACACCAGAAGGAAAGCAAAACCGTGCTCATCCTCAAAGTCAAACAAAACACAACCAGCAAACAAAGCCAGGGGGGCTTCAGGGCCACGGAAGGTGAAAAGGACGGAAATCAAAGACAATAGCCACAGGTCAAGACTGAATTCTGACTTCACATGTACCAGTAAAAAAAAAGAGAGATTGTTTTCCTTAATAATCCCAACAGTTCTGTGCCCTTACTACGTGTTACTCTTCACATACTCCTACTCACACGATTTTCCAATGAGCCTATAATCAAATACTGTGCTTATAGCCCAGCCGGTGTGGCTCAGTGGTTGAACATTGACTCATGCACCAAGAGGTCGCTGGTTCGATTCCTGGTCAGGGCACATGCCCAGGTTGTGGACCTGATCCCCAGTGGGGGGCATGCAGGAGGCGGCCAATCGATGTTCTCTCTCATCGATGCTTCTCTCTTGTTCCCTCTCCCTTCCCCCCTCTCTCTAATATCAATAAAGAAGACAAATTTTTTTAAATAAATAAATACCGTGCTCATCACCCTTGGGCAGGTGAGGGGGCAGGAGGAGCTTCGGCTGCAGGGGCCTGGCTGTGGGGCCCGAATGCAGGAGGCTGGGATAAGGCACAGGCCCCGCCTACAGACCTCTAGATAGAGCAGCTCAAACATGTATGTTTAGGTAGAAAGAAATGAAGCTCGCTCTCCTCCAAATGTGGCTACAGATGTATGTCACCTATCGTACGGCTAAGAACTGAGGAGGAAGACGGGGTGGCTGGTA